TAGATCACTGAACTGCTCACTTTTGTGTCTATGTCTGCAGGTTTACAGACGAGGAGGCATACAAAGGTATGTCAATTGGTATTGGTATGTTATGCAGATCACATGTACAAGGAAAATCCCATAGGCCTATACATTATGGACAAGGTATGTGTGTTAAAACCATTATCAAAATAGTTTTATTAATCCACATTTACCACTAAAACTAAGGTTTGAATACTGTCATGTGCATGTTTTGTTAATTATCTTTATAATGAATATTTTTGGGATTCACAGACTTCACCCTCCCTACACCTCTGATGAATATAACAGGAAACCTGTTCGATCACCATGCACTGCAAAATCATTCTGGCTATTGATAAGGAGAACATCAACACATTAACATCAACATGCCAGAGGATATACCCATTGGACTTGGGGCTCTGCTGGGAGTTGACCTCATATTTGGGTTTTTTATTCTGCTTTGCCACTAAAATCCTAATAAACACTGACAACTAAAATATTGTGTTATTGTTGTAATTGTTAAGCGTATTACTACTACTAATAATAATAGGGGAGGGTGGATAACAGTTGAAGTCTGAAGTTTACATACACCTTAGCCAAATACATTTAAACTCAGTTTTTCACAATTCCTGACATTTAATCCTAGTAAAAATTCCCTGTCTTAGGTCAGTTAGGATCACCACTTTATTTTAAGAATGTGAAATGTCAGAATAATAGTAGAGAGAATTATTTATTTCAGCTTTTATTTCTTTCATCACATTCCCAGTGGGTCTGAAGTTTACATACACTCAATTAGTATTTGGTAACATTGCCTTTAAATTGTTAAATTTGGGTCAAATGCTTCGGGTAGCCTTCCACATGCTTCCCACAATAGGTTGGGTGAATTTTGGCCCATTCCTCTTGACAGAGCTGGTGTAACTGAGTCAGGTTTGTAGGCCTCCTTGCTAGCACATGCTTTTTCAGTTCTTCCCACACATTTTCTATAGGATTGAGGTCAGGGCTTTGTGATGGCCACTCCAATACCTTGACTTTGTTGTCCTTAAGCCATTTTGCCACAACTTTGGAAGTATGCTTGGGGACATTGTCCATTTGGAAGACCCATTTGCGACCAAGCTTTTACTTCCTGACTGATGTCTTGAGATGTTGCTTCAATATATCCACATCATTTTCCTTCCTCATGATGCCATCTATTTTGTGAAGTGCACCAGTCCCTCCCTACAGCAAAGCACCCCCACAGCATGATGCAGCCACCCCCAGTGCTTCACGGTTGAGATGGTGTTCTTCGGCTTGCAAGCATTTTTTTCCAAACATAACGATGGTCATTATGGCCAAACAGTTATATTTTTGTTTAATCAGACCAGAGTACATTTCTCGAAAAAGGATGATCTTTGTCCCCATGTGCAGTTGCAAATCGTAGTGTGGCTTTTTTATGGCGGTTTTGGAGCAGTGGCTTCTTCCTTGCTGAGCAGCCTTTCAGGTTATGTCGATATAGGACTCGTTTTACTGTGGATATAGATAATTTTGTACCTGTTTCCTCCAGCATCTTCACAAGGTCATTTGCTGTTGTTCTTGGATTGATTTGCCCTTTTCTCACCAAAGTACCATAATCTCTAGGAGACAGAACGCTTCTCCTTCCTGAGCGGTATGACGGCTGCGTGGTCCCATGGTGTTTATACTTGCGTACTATTGTTTGTACAGATGAACGTGGTACCTTCAATTATTTGGAAATTGCTCCCTAGGATGAACCAGACTTGTGGAGGTCTACAATTTATTTTCTGAGGTCTTGGCTGATTTCTTTTGATTTTCCCATGATGTCAAGCAAAGAGGCACTGAGTTTGAAGGTAGGCCTTGAAATACATCCACAGGTACACCTCCAATTGACTCAAATGATGTCAATTAGCCTATCACAATTAGCCTATCATGGCTTCTAAAGCCATGACATCATTTTCTGGAATTTTCCAAGCTGTTTAAAGGCACGGTCAACTTAGTGTATGTAAACTTCTGACCCACTGGAATTGTGATACAGTGAATTATAAGTGAAATAATCTGTCTGTAAACAATTGTTGGAAAAATTACTTGTGTCATGCACAAAGTAGATGTCCTAACCGACTTGACAAAACTATAGTTTGTTAACAAGAAATTTGTGGAGTGGTTGAAAAACAAGTTTTAATGACTCCAACCTAAGTGTATGTAAACTTCCGACTTCAACTGTAGTTCAAAAATTAACCCCAAAAGGTTCTTCAAAAGGTTATTTGAGGATCCATTGAAAGGGGTTCTTTGAAGCCTTTTAAAGAGTTATTCAAATAACTTATAGGGGTTCCCCCACAGTTTCAATTTGAATAACCCCTAAAGGATCCTCCAGGAACCTTTACTTTTTAGAGTGTACCCTCCTACCTTGTCACAACAAAACTGATTGGCTCAAACGCATTAAGAGGGAAAGAAATTCCACAAATTAACTTTTAAGAAGGCACACCTGTTAATTGAAATGCATTCCAGGTGACTACTTAATGAAGCTGGTTGAGAGAATGCAAAGAGTGTGCAAAGCTGTCATCAAGGCAAAGGGTGGCTATTTGAAGAATCTCAAATATAAAATATATTTTGATTTGTTTAACACTTTTTTGGTTACTACATGAATCCATATGTGCTATTTCATAGTTTTGATGTCTTCACTATTATTCTGCAAGGTAGAAAATAAAAAAAATTAAGAAAAACCTTTGAAGTGAAGTAGTGTAATTCCACTTTGAAATGTTGTGTGTAGGCCAGTGAAAAAGTCAAGGGGTGTGAATACTTTCTGAAAGCACATGGCGGTGCACTCTAAGTTGTATGCTATAGGCCGGGTCTGCCGTGATACCTCATTCATGGTGTGTAGGTACAGGGTCTATCACATCACCTATGAGTTTAATTGATTTATCTGTGTTATGTGTCCAAAATTACTTTATACATAATACCTGTGTGGGGTCCCAATACCTCATATATAGTGGCATGGTCTTTCTCAGATTTCACTGCCATGACAGGTGAATATGGGTGTACTACTATTTCACCTATACAAGTTATGGTATCTGGTGACTCAGTATGATTTGACCATGATGTAAAAGGGCTGCAGAGCAGCAGTAGCAGCCTTGCTTAAGTGATTCATTGAGCGGACAGGACACTGACCACCGTCTGCTTAATTATTGAGACACTAACAGTAGCTTTGCTTAAGGAGCTAATTGGAGCAGACAAACCAGAGGCCAGCTGACCTGAAACGAGACAGTAAATTGGTCATGTGGTTGTTGTCCATCCGTCAGGAGCACATACAGGGTTGTGGTCATTAGTCACCAAACGGAAGAAGACTGACTGAAACACGGAGGAACTACTTGGACTTCATTTTCCGTTTCTGTTGCAAAACATTTTGAAACGCTTTCTGTTGCGTGCCCTAATGAACATGGCCCCAATGTGCTCATCAACTGCAGACAAAATACTTGACTTCAGATGACAAAATTGAATTAGCTGTCATTCATTGGGAGAAATTGAATTTTCCTGTCATGTTCAATTCCACTCACTTGAAAAAGTATGTAAATACTTTAATGTATTCAATTCCATTCAGTGCTATGCTGAGTTTCTAATTTGCAGTGTTAGTCCAGTAGATTTGTTGGGCTGTATGGTGATTGGTGGAAACAGTTTGGACTAAAATGATTGGTTGTATGATGTTGTATGAAAATGTATGCACTCACTAACTGTAAGTCGCTCTGGATAAGAGCGTCTGCTAAATGACTAAAATGTAAAATGGGTTACAAATGTTGTTGTAATTAGGGAAATGCCTGACCCAAATCCATATTTCTTTGTAGATCAGATGTCTATAGAAAGTAAATGATCAGGACAAGCAGAAAATCCAAACATGTTTATTTACAAACACAATATAAAGAATGACCCAGAATGTAGGTTTTGTATCACTGTTCAAACTGTAATAATTCCATCCTTTCATTTTCGGACCGATTCTTCTACCTAGTTATTTTTTACTCTACAGTTTGATGACTCAAACTGAAAATAGTTAATGTGCTCATACGGATAACTTATTTTGTGCATTGTGTCTTTTACACACAATCTGTGTGACTGTGAATTAAATAAACAATCTTCCAAAAACTTTAGGAGTGATCATGGAAGATCATGGGAATTTGGGGCATTATAAAAATCTAAAGGCATTGCACAGCATATACAGAAGAATGGCCCTATGTTTCCAGTTCAGTAATTTTCCTCCATTCTGTCACAGTTAAACACAACAAATACAAATAGAGACATACAGCATTCCAAGGCTGAGATCCATGATGCTTTCAAGGTTACAACTTTGTCACATTGCAAAAGGGAAATGACACGATGCAGTGATAATAATGATAACAAAAATCGTATAATTTCAAAACGGGGCGATATTAGTAATTCCTTTCCATCGTCTGTGAAAAAGTGCCTCCGTCGATCAGTTCTCTTTTAAAATCCATTCAAGGTTGATATAAGGTTTCAGGTAGCCTAGCGGTTAGAGAATTGGGCCAGTAACCGAAAAGTTGTTAGTTTGAAAAATCTGTTGTTCTGCCCTTGAGCAAGGCAGTTAACCCCCCACAACAACAGTGCCCAAAGTGGCAGCACCTCTCCGATTCAGAGAGGTTGAGTTAAAAGCGAAAGTCAAGTTTCGGTTGGACCTTGTGTGCAATTGACGATAAATTGAATATAATTTTAATTAAACTAATCTCTCCCAATGCACTGTGAGCTTTAGCAGAAGCTGATCATTGTAAACATGTTTCAGTGTTGGTTGCAGGCACACACAAAACAAAAAATATAGTAGAATCATGCACTGCATCACGGGTATGCAAATAGCATTATATCTTACAGGAATTATATTATATTTAGTAATTTCAACAGCAGAAGTGAACCTCTTCTCATCTAGGTTATTAAAGTGAGTCAGCAGACAGTAAGAACAAGAGTTTGTTTGATACGAATGTCCATTAGAAAAGCAATTCAGGGGTGAATTGCATATCTGAGAGAGGATTTGTACATTTATATCATAAGGCAGCATGGTTTTAAGACATGAATGACAGAGAGAAATCGATTGCTCAACAGTTCCCAATAACTAGGGCCAAGGTGTTTTTCTTACTATGTAGCCTGACCAGGAAACGCTTCAAGCCCTAGTTATAGGGCCCAGAGTTTTCCCAGTCAGGTCCCAAGGTGAGGAAACCCTCCTGGCCTTACATATGATGCGTGACTAGGACTGTCTGTTCTGGAGGTCAGAGATTTTACTATGGTGGTGGTGATTATATAATATTCATAATCTTGCCTTTGTCCAAAAAGAGCAAGCAAATAAAACATCATCATTTCACATCAGAAATATCCAAGGATATCTTCCAGTGTTTGGCTAGTTAGTTATACAGAAGAAAGTGGACCTATGAAAAAGGTCCTCTCAGGTCAGGAAGTGTTTTATAATAAATATTTACCCATATAAAACAGTTTAATGTAGCTGGACAACTGAAGGTTAAACAGTTGGATCTTTGAAGATTTATTTTGGATTCGCTCAACATCTATAGTGTTCAGGATTTTTACACAGACATAAATAAAAGCTGCCTCACCCACAGAGCGTCTGAGAAAGAGAGCACAGTGTAAATAGTTGTGCAACATGTTAAGTTCAAACCTCTGTACAACAGTACCACCGAGCCACTAAGATTTCACAGAAACGACATCACTAGGAAAGATCACATCACATTAAAACAAGCAACCTACATTAACAGAATCAGAGAAACCGGCGGCCATTGGAGTTGCTTATTCAGCAAGAGAGTATGAAACACACCAAGATAAATTATAGTGTTGGCATTAAAGCAAGCAACCTTCAACACATGGAGCTAGTGTAAAGAGCAGAAATATACGGTGTGAGCTCAAAAGGCCATCTCTCATCAACTGTAAGAAAACACCATTGTATCTAAATGAAGATATGCAAAATGATGATCAATTAACAACCGAGACAAAAACAGGAGTAAATGGTGACTTCCCATGATGCATTACGCCGTGGGCGTGGCTCCGGTGCATGATCATGTGCAAGGTCCTGAGTGTACATGGAGGATGCCTCGCGTGTGCATGTGCAGGAAGTTAAAGATCTCGTGGGGCATGGCGTGGAACCCGGGGCGGGGCTTGACGTTGTCATAGTAATGGTGCGTGATGAAAATGCCAGAGGGGTTCATGGGAAACGCCCAGAAGCCATAGAGGTGGACCTCCTCGCACAGTTCCATGGCGGCAGTGACTAGCATCAGGCCGCTGCTGAGGCGTTTGGCGCGGACACCCTGGACAGTCCAGAAGCGCTGGACGTTGAGCAGGTACTGGGGGTGGAAGAAGAACACGCCCCTCTGGGCGTCAAAGTCGTCCAGCATGTACTTGACTCGGAAGGAGACGTCTGTGTTACGCGTGTTGTAGAAGGCGGGTAGGACCACTGATGAGTTCTCGTAGTTCTGAAGAACCTCGTAAAATGGCCGCCGCCACTTCTCTAGCTTCTGGAATCTGGTGGTGGAGGAGAGGAGAGGAGAGGTAAGGGATCAGAGTGTGTATAAGGAGGGAGGAGGTGTGTGTGTGTGTGTTGTGTGTGTGTGTTTGCAAGTACATTTACATTTACGTCATTTAGCAGACGCTCTTATCCAGAGCGACTTACAGTTAGTGAGTGCATACATTATTATTTTTTTTTTTCACACTGGCCCCCCGTGGGAATCAAACCCACAACCCTGGCGTTGCAAACGCCATGCTCTACCAACTGAGCTACAAGTAGCAGACGTGAGTGCTGCAGCTCTGTTTTTTTACTAAGTACAATGCACACCCATTGTAACTGCTGCCGTTAATGCATTTCAGGTCTAGATGGTGTGTGTGTGTGTGTATGTGTATGTGTGTGTGTGTGCCTGGGCACAGACGTCAATTCAACGTCTATTCCACATTGGTTCAATGTAATTTCATTGAAATTATGTGGAAACAAAGTTGATTCAACCAGTGTGTGCCCAGTGAGAATACCCTTTTTTGTTGACATAGCCTTACAGTACCTCTCCGTTATAATACTTGGATTAATCGTCACCAGATCCGTTTTGGCGCCTACATCAGCTGAATACTTCTCATTGATGGGTGGTATGTTGCATCTTTGAAGGAAGGATAATTATTTACATTATTCAATGCAGATTCTGAGAAGGCCTGAGCTGAGCGAAAGTAATTAAATACTGTATCTTGCCATTTGATATCTGCAGTCAAAAAGAAATCAACCCAAGCGTGACGCTTGGAAATATTTTTAGCAGTACAGAATAAAGATGCTGTGTACCTAAACACGAAATCTGCGGAGTCAATTTCCTTCCCACATTTGCTGTTCTTGATGATTCCTCCGTTTCCAACAACTGCACATTTCTTAAACTGGGACTTGGAGTAAGGCATGTCCTTTCAATGAAACAGAACCAATGTCAAACAGAAATATGGGGTACAGTTTATAACCAGAGAAGGTGGAGTTCCATCACCTTAGGGTGGGAGGTAGGGTACATAGCATAGGATGCATGGATGACAGGTAGTCATACAGGATGATATACTGTATATTGTTATAATTGGAACACTCACGTCAGGAAACATCTTGAAGACCTCAGTACTGATGGGCAGGATGCCACTGGTGTCCACCTCATACCTCAGCTTGGTGCCTGCTGGGGTGTTCCTCTTGGTTGTGAACAGGAAGGAGGGCGCATTACAACACCGCGACAGAGACATCCTATTGGAGAGAACAGTAGAAGGGAGGAGTTACTGTCAGACCCAAAAAACTGTAGTAGAACAAGGATGCTGCAAAAAACTAGCAACATTGCAGCCCTGGTCCTTGAGGACTAGAACTGTGCACCCTGCAGTAGAAAGTGTCTCTATGAGTCTGGTTAGTCACACAATAAAGATGCCCTGATGTACAGAGAGACATCTAAGCAATGTGATTGGTACTATAGGGGCAGAGTCACACTAGATAGACATGGATGGGGCCACAGAGGAGAGGGAGGCTAATGTGTGTGATGTACGGTAGAAGAGCACTAATATCCCCTCTGAAGAGGCTCATGCTAATAGACTCTGGTGGCATTCCAAGTCTTCTGTTTTGCGTTCACGCTCTGCAGATGATCAGATATCACAATGCCTCAAGAAGTGTTTAAGGTCTCGTGAACCACAATAATATGATATAGCATTCTTTTTGAGATGTACAGTGTGACTGCAAGAAAGGTGACCTGAAACACCATCTCTATGATGCGTTTAAGGTCAATTAGAAGCTCACTTGAAGTTGTTGGTCTCCACCATGTTTTGCTGCCACTTGCACACCTGCAGGTTCCTCCATCTCTCAAACAGCTCCGACGTCTTCACCCTGGCAGATGGGCAGGGAAACCCCACATAAAACCGAGACAAACAAGAGAAGAGTCAAGTGATCCATGCATGTTTAAGAATAAGCCCTATACCCTATGGTCCTATACTGTATATACTGTAGATCAGGGATGGGCACATTCTATGGGGGTGGGAGCCACAAAACATCTGAACTCATCATGTGGGGCCGCAGTGGCTCGCGGCTCTGTGTACACACATCCATACCCACACATGCAGTCAGAGCCGGCCCTAGTTTTTTGGGGGCCCTAAGTAAATTTGGTTCGGGCTGAGACCCTTCCCCAAAAAAGTTTTATTATAATATTTTTTTGTCTTTGGAAATTGATCTGCTGGCCTACAAAAGGGGGGCCACAGGCCCCATGACCTCCAGGGGCCCATCCCTGCTGTAGATGGTCTCACAATGAGGGGGTTGAAAAGTGCCAACAGGGGGAGGGGGCTGCATGGAGCTACAGAAACCACAGAGATGACACTGCAGCACTTTACTTGGCTCTGCTCTGTAATATGAATATTAAACACGCGCTGAGGTGTAACATGAGAATGGCACTGGAAGCTGTGGCAATGGATTTAGCATTGCGCTCAGGCACTCCCTCTGACTGACGCCTTGCGTCTGCTGTCTTCAGAAGATGGCGATGGCCAGAAATAGAAGGTCTCTAAATAGCTCCCCTTGAACTGACATTCCCCCTCGATGATTGGGAAATGTGATTTGCTCGGGGGGGGGAAAGCACTACCAGGGCTGGATGTAGAGTAATTAGAGCCAGTCACTGCTCTGTAACTGCTGGCGGAGCCAAGGGGCTGTTGTCTGTATGTCGCGCTGTCTGCTGCCTGGCCTGGCACACTGTCCCTCAGCAAGCCCCTCTTGCAGGTGTGATAACTAGCTCAAACATCCTCAAGAATATGTAAGCCTGTGCCAGAGTCTGTCCTATGGTAGCACTGCTACATGTTGTACAGTACATCCCCCTGGCGACAGAGGTTCAAAGCCTGTCTCGTCCATGTCACGCCCTGGCTCTGGGGACACTGTTATGTTGAGCCAGGGTGTGTAGATCTATGTTCCCTATTTCTATGTTGGCCTGAGTGACTCCCAATCAGAGGCAACGAGTGTCAGCTGTTTGCTGGTTGTCTCTGATTGGGAGCCATATTTAAACTGTCGGTTTTTCCTTTGGTTTTGTGGGTTCTTGTTTCAAGTTGGTTTAGTTTGACCGTGTACTGTCACGTTGCCGTCTTTGTTGTTTTGATCGTGTTTTCGCTCAATAAAGAGTATGTTTGCCTGCAACGCTGCGCCTTGGTCCTCATCTGTTCCTGACGATCGTGACAGTCCACTTTCTCATGTATCTTTGCCCTTGTCTGTTTCTACCACTATATCTTCCTATTGTTGTATTATAAAATCATTATTTCAATGTTTTTGGAAAGGACAAGGGATGGGCCTGAATGTTGGAACTGAGTGCACAGACTTTGCTTCCTCCAATATCTAAATTAGACACTCATTTCAAAGAGAGAACACAAACCAGCAAGGCACATAGGCCCTCAAGGATCATAGTTGCCCATCACTGCATCACTCTCAGAAAATAGTGTTCCAAAAGGGTTCTTCGGCTGTCCCCACAGGAGAACCCTTTGAAGAAACCTTTTTGGTTCCAGGTAGAACCCTTTTGGGTTCCATGTAGAACCCTCTGTGGAAAGGGTTTTACATGGAACTCAAAAGGTTTCTGCCCGGAGCCAAAAAGGGTTCTTCAAAGGGTTCTCCTGTGGGGACAGCCGAAGAACCCTTTTAGGTTCTAGATATAACCTTTTTTTCTTAGAGTGTAACACAGGCGATTACACTCACATGGTCAGGACTTTGACATCCATAATCTCCTGCCTGAGCTCTTTGCATGCAGTGGAGTTGTATTCGTAGGATCCATCGTATGAGTCCAGATACCTGGAGGGATAGGCACAGTCAGCGTCACGCTGCACTGATCTGATCTACACAATAATCAACAATAATAAGGAACAAGCTGGGACACAAAACACATAGCACAGTGGGGTTGGGGAAAGATGATATACATTAGGGGACACTTTTAACTTTATTCCAATACAATTGTGGCTTTACTTTAAAATACATTATTAAAATTAATCTTTAACGTGAAGACATTGTTATGGAATGAGTGGCAGGTGTGATATCATTCCTATGGATAGGGAATCCACAATATGTATCCTGGACACTTTTTTGTCACCAGCTACCACTGTTTAAGACAAGTAATATAATTTCTCTGTTTTGTTTTCAGATGTTTTTGTTGCTGATAACATTCATTTTAACATTCACAATTAACATGGACATTCTCTTAACAAAAAATTGTCTTTGCAAACAACAAAAAGAGCATGAAATATGTAGTGAGAAAGGGGAAGGGGGGAGGTAGAAATCTTGTGGTAAATTGTGAGAAAATATGACCAAATCCTCATGGCAGGAGCACCTAGACTGAACAACCTTTATCATGGATAAGGTATGTCTGTGTCGTATGGCATGTACAGTAGGCTGGATAGAGTGAACTGCACAGCTGCACAGTGTGATGCCAATGGCGAATATGGGGAGTGACTGCGGCTGTCTTACTGCATAAGGCAGACACAGCATACTTACCCAGTGGGCAAAACTGGTATTTTATGCAATTATATTCCGGTTGGGTAACACTTTACGGTAGGTGTCCTTATGCATGCATTCATAAAGCCTTTATAACAGCTCTGCGGCACATTATAGCATTTGTCATAAGCTGTCATAAGTCGTTTTCAATAGTTATGAGTCACGGTATAAAATCGGTTATACAGGAATGGTTGTTAAAAATGACTGTTCATCCTGTTGTCATATGCTCTAATGTCAACTGTTAATAACAACTGCTATTACACAGTCTGGGTGACAACTTATGTCATATGCCTGCTACATAAGAGTCTACATACCAGATGTTATAACAGTATGTTATGTAATTGACCAACCTCTGTGTCACATTATTACATTGAATGGAATGATGGGTGTCATAACCATGTCATATGCCCTTATAGAGTGTGCACAGACACCTTAAGTAAAGTTACATTAATTTGAGATGTTATAAAACAGTTATGTGCTGCTTAGACCACAGGATGAGTTGAGAGTTTCATACAATGTTACCATTTAAAGGATCTCCAAGAAACATGGGCAAATGGGAGTACAGATGTACTTACGATTTTTTTAATAATAAAAAAAGACATATTATAAACCAAAAATGTTTAAACAAAATGGAAGCAAATTGAATTTTACACCAAAATCAACATTGCTGGGGCACAACAGGATTTGTGACAGATGGGAAAAAAGGAAGATGTGCAGACTACAGTAACAATGAGAGCAGCTATATTACAAAAAAATGGGTAGCTAGCTAGCTAGTTAGTCAGTCAGGTAACTAGGAACAGGGTTGGAGAGCCCTGCTCTACACAGTCCAAACAATGTGTTTTGTTTGACAGTATACTAGCCATTCATTTACCTTAGTGGCACTACATGAGCACAATAGGCCTCACTGTGCTGCGTGCCCCCATCGATGCATAGCTAGCTAGTGGGGGAATTCTGAATTATAAAGCTTACTTTGCAGCACATCACACAATACATTCTCTTACTGTATACTTTAGTTTAGAGGCAATTACTTTTTAATCTTAAAGAGATTCTCCAGTACTTTTGTATACTTTTTAGCCAGTAGTTCTGAAAGTAGTGCTCACGAGCAAAAAGTGGTCCCCGAAAATTCCGTACTTCGTCACATATGTGCAGATATGTGCACCACATCATTTTTCTCTCTCTTGCTCTGCTGTGTATGCATCTTGCTAGTTGTCACTCAAATGGTGAGGGGCTGAAGCTCATTGGTTAGAACTCGAATTGCTATGGGGCTGGCCCAAGTGGAGGAAAATGTAGGGAAAATGGCGCAGCACAGCTTCCAGAAAAACAGTTGCTTTCAAATTAGAAATGTTGTGGCTAATTGAGGTAAGACAAAAATTCTGCTCATAGATTATGAATGTATGAACTACACATTGACACATCTAGCCCAAAGCGGGAGGTATAAAAAATACTTTGTTGTCGCCAAAGTTCCGGAGCATGTTTTTAATACATGTTGTTTAACTCAATCTAACTAGCTAACATTATCCATGTTCTTTACAATTGGGTTGTGAGGTGATCTTCTTGCTTCTGTATTGTTATGTTGGTAAGTCCCACCCTTCTTCTTCTTCTGATTTCAGCTGTATGATTCACTGACACAAGAGATCGCAATAACTTTTCATTGGATCATCAAATAACATGGATACCAATAACGTTAGTTAGCTTGAGTTAAATAACGTGTATTAAGATGAAAAGGTAATTGCATTTAAAGTGTACGGCGCCTTCAGAAAGTATTCAAACCCCTTGACTTATTCCACATTTTGTTGTTACTGCCTGAATTCAAAATGGATCTCACCCATCTACACACAATACTCCATAATGACAAAGTGAAAACATGTTTTTAGAAATGTTTGCAAATGCATTGAAAATGAAATTACACCCCTGAGTCAATACTTTTTAGAAGCACCTTTGACAGCAATTACAGCTGTGAGTCTTTCTGGATACGTCTCTAAGAGCTTTCCACACCTGGATTGTGCAACATTTGCCTATTATAATTTTCAAAATTCTTCAAGCCCTGTCAAATTGGTTGTTGATCATTGCTAGACAACCATTTTCAGCTCTTGCCGTAGATTTTCAAACAGATTTAAGTCAAAACTAACTCAGCCATTCAGGAACATTCACTGTCTTCTTGGTAAGCAACTCCAGTGTAGATTTGGCCTTGTGGTTTAGGTTATTATTGTCCTGCTGAAGGTGAATTCACCTCCCAGTGTCTTTTGGAAAGCAGACTGGACCAGGTTTTCCTCTAGGATTTTGCCTGTGCTTACCTCCCCATTCCTTAACGATTACAAGCATACTCATAACATGATGCAGCCACCACTACGCTTGAAAATATGGAGAGTGGTACTCA